AATTAAGAATTACGTACTTTGGGCATTTTCCATGGAAGGAAATCGCTATGAATATCACCGAAGCATTTGCCGTATTTATCCAAAGCTTCTTCAAACAGATTACCTTCACTTGCAGACCATTCTTCCATTTCATCAAGCTTGAGAAATGGCTGTCCATCAGGGGCCAGAAGGTGGAGTGCCCTGAGAATATCATAGTCAGCACGATGCAGAGTGTTCAAAGCTTGCTGATGAGTAGCATCACGAGATGCCGCAGCTGCCGACATGACTAGACCAGGCTGTCTGAGAGCTGCAGGTGGATTATAAGCTCTTCCTAATGTAGCCAATGAGCGAGCGCATACAAGAAAAGATTCTATTTCGCTTGTTGTTATATTGGTGTTAGGTCTCCACATCAAATGCTCACGAGGGTCAGGCGGATCATCTGTTAAATCTTGTCCTAAACTGAATAGAAAAAGGAAATCTTACTCCTTGAAACCTCTGTGGATAAAGGGACGACTGCTTGGTATTGATCACCGATACGAATAGAGCCTTTATCAGCCTGTAGCGTTTTTTGCATCGGATCATATACCAATTGAAAAAAGAAAGCATCTTCTTTGTTTAGATAGCTATTGCATGACTCCGTTTCATTATGGAGAGTAACGGTGCATTTCCCTCGAATATGAGTTGCAGGTAGCGTTTCCAGATGACGGGAGATGAAGAGTTCGCGGTGTTCAATCTGTAAATGAAGACAAATATAACTAACCTGATGAAGCTTTTCGTTTGAAAAATGCTCGCCGCTAGATGATAATCCATCCTCTGAAAAAAATAAATAAAATTAAAAACAAAGTACTTTGGTGTTTATCAGCCAAAGATATTAAATTAGCTGAGAGATCACGTCGGCGGTAGAAACACATAACCTTCGCCTCGACAGCACCAGTGGAAGTCTATAAAACTAGTCGGGCATATAGTATCGTACCTTATTCAGCTCCTCAATACGCCTAATCTGGTACGGTGCAGAAGCCGTAGCCTCGAAGTAAACGAAATCTTGGAAACAAATTGAAACGATGTTAAGGAAACATTATGAGTTCAATTAAAAGGATGGATGGTGAATAAAATCTGATTAGCAAAATAAAATTACCTCCAACTCTGTACATGTTATTAGATGCCATCTTGATGTGAAAGGGAATCCTTACTTAAGCATGGCCAGGTATGTACAAGAGAAGACCTCAATCAAAATGCGCTATCAACAAGACCGGAAGCTGTAAAACGCATTGCAATAGAATTATCTTAATAAAGCGCACAGTAAAAATAAATTTACTAGAGACAAAATTGAAACGTAAAATTAATTAAATGCTTAATAAGTGTAGGTGGCATGATTGAATAATACATTAACAAAAAAATTTAGTTTTCGCATCTTGGTCATATTGGTAGGAAGACTCATAGGAACGCACCTAATCCGGAGACCATTGTATGCATTATCATTTCCAAAGCCGGACCGTTTACCTGGTACATTCTCAGAAGTTTCACCGGCATCGTAGTCGGCATCGTCATTTTGTCTCGCCATTCTTAGCACCACAAAACAACTCGCCAAAGAGACTAGTCAAAGGATCGGCCTCACTTGTCTCTTCGACGGGTTGTTTTATGGTGCTACGAATGGCGAGACTTACTTACAATGCTGACTACGATGCCGGCGAAACGTCTGGGAATGTACCAGGTCAATGGTCCGACTTTGGAAATGATCATGCATACAATGGACTCCAGACTAGGTGCGTTCATATAAGTCTTCTTAACAATATGACCAAGTTGCAAAAACTAAAGACGAATAACCTCTAT